TTTTGGGGTTTGATAATGACGTTAAAACAAAGTGGGGTGTTCCTGTGGGAAAGAAAAATCATGATTTTTTTAATGATCAAAGGAATTGACGGTCTTGGGTTTAACAATTTTCCTTTAAAAATTGTTTTGCTTATCGGTTTTATCCCGATTTTCTTGAGGATTGTTCCTTTAGAAGTGGTTTTTATTATGCAAATGGGTTTCATTCCCATTTTAAGTTGTTTTCCTCCTTGGCAACTTGGAGTCTCCACTTTGGTGGGTGCCACTGCTAGTTCGATTAGCAAGTGGTGGGATAATTACCCGTCAATACCAGGGATTGGGTACGTTTTCCTTAAACTGTACCACAAATGGGTTGGTTGTTTCCCTTGTAACTATAAAAACAACCACTTCAAGATCTTATGGCATAAGTGTATGGTTACTGCTATCCGGTTTATCCCGGATTTCATTGGAAATTTTTCCTTTGAAGTGGATTATTTCATTTTGCATTTGGGTTTGATCCCCATTAGTTGGTGTTTTTATCCTAGGCAACTAGGATTCTCCACTTATGTGGGTGCCACTGCTAGTTCGATTAGCAAGTGGTGGGATATTCACCCGGCAATACACGGGATTGGGTACGTTAACCTTAGACTGTACCACTTACAGGTTGGTTGTTTCCTTTGTAATCATAAAAACAACCACATTTGGAGCCTTATGGATCCTTGTTTGCTTATTGCTGTCTGGTTTATCCCAGATTTCATTGGAAATCTTTCCTTTGAAGTGGTCATTTTTTTAAAGCAAATGGGTTTGATCCCCGTCAGTTGGAAATTTCTTCCTAGGCAACTAGGAATCTCCACTCTTGTGGGTGCCACTGCTAGTTCGATTAGCAAGTGGTGGGATATTTACCCGTTAATACACTGGATTGGGTACGTTAACCTTAGACTGTACCACAATTGGGTTGGTTGTTTCCTTTGTTATCATAAAAACAACCACTTTGGGACCTTTCAAACTCTTTGGTTTTACCAAAAATTTAATGCTAATCGGTCTATCCCGGTTATCATTGGTATTTTTGCCTTTGATGTGGAATTTGGAGGTTTTATTCTTAATCTTTTAAGGATTAACCTTCAGGGGTATTTTTGGAATACTCTCTTTAAAAAAGGAATTGACGGGCTGCATTTGTTTGGATGGATTCCTAAGAAGAAAGTTGGTGATCTTGATTTTTTTAATCTTGAGGATTATGGTATCATTGCGATTATGAGCCTTTTAATTGTTAGAAGTTGGGATTTAATTCAAGGGCAAGTTTGGAATATTTGGAACATTATATTGGAAGATTTGTTGAAGAGTAATTGGTTTATTTTGGGCAAGAAAGAAGTTGTAAACAAATTGAAGAAAATTTGGAAATGGTGGGATTTGTTGGAAAGTAACGGTTTTAGCAACGTACTTTCTTGTGGTTTGAAGATTATATTTTGGAGTTTATTAGACATTAAAGTGAAGATTGGAAAGAATACTAGCAATTATTGTGTGGAGAAGATTGGGAATAATTGCATGAAGAGTATAGTTCAAAGTTCAAAGTTCATTGCTATTATTGGTGGTAGCTTGGAGTGGAAACATTTGCAAATTATTGATGATATGAATGATTTGGCCAATGATTCTCTCGATTTGGAAGTTCCTTGGAAGCATTGGAAGACAATCTTTATTCAAACCTTGGACTATTTGTTTGAGTATGAGGCCATATTTTGGGTTTTGAATTGGTGGAAGATTGGAAGCTTTATGAAGATTGAAGATTTTGAAGATTTTGTGAATTGGAAGTTTTTTGGTTTTGATAGTATTGTGTATCTCTTTGAAAGTTATGTTTGGTTTCACTCCTTGTATTGGAGTTGGACATGGAAGTGGATCGGTTGGTTTGTTTAGCTAGGGTTAGTTGCTTTAATTTAGTTTAGGGTTTTGTAGTTAGTTGTTAGTTGTGTAGTTAGGTTTTTTGGGCGGTTGCCCTCTTTCCTTGTATTGTTTTTTCTTTTCAATAAAATTTGCCAAGGGGTCTTCCCCCTTTTATCCAAAAAAAAAACCCTAAACCCTAAACCCTAAACCCTAAACCCTAAACCTCAATAACCAGGCTTGGGTACGTCATCCTTAGACTGTACCACCATTTTTTTGGCATTTTTTGGGTAACAAAATGTCACTTTTTGTCCGGTTCAAATCCGGAAACTTTAATTGGAAGGTTTTCCCTCTTTTTCCATAAAAAGAATCTAAATCTTGGTTCAAGTCCAAGTAGTATAGTCATGTGGTTTGCCCCGTTTTTCCAAAAATGGATGTTTTTTACCGGTTCAATTCCGGACTATTTAGTTGGTTGGTTTTTCTTCTTTTTCCATAAAAAGAACTTAAATCTTGGTTCAATTCCAAGTAGTTTAGTCATGTGGTTGGCCCCTTTTTTCCAAAAAAGGATGAATTTATCCGGTTCAAATCCGGAAATTATAGTTTGGTTTTCTAACTTTTTCCGTAAAAAGTTCAAAAATCTTGGTTCAATTCCAAGTAATTTAGTGGGTGGGTTTTATGATTTTATCCATAAAAAATCAATAGATGGGATTTATGTTAAAAGATTGTGGATAATGATGGGTGATGATGACAATTGGAATGGAATGATGGAAAAGCGATATAATCCAAGAAGGTCGGTTAAAGAGAGCAAGAATTGGAAGATTGTGAATAGAGATAATAGAGATGATGATATTTTGGCTTTTTATAGCAACATACTTTTGAGGTACATAAAAGATAATAAAGATACAAGGGTGGAGAGGAGAAAGAAGATTGCTATTATGGAGTCCTTTGACAATGGGAAGGAGGAAACTATGTGCATTTTATATGGAATTCTTGGGATATTGATGTTCATAGGACTAGCGATATTCTTGACACTTGGATGAGGAGCATGTATAGAGATGGAGTTTTTGAAGATTGGAAGAAAAGATGGCGTGTCCATTTCGAGTGCGAGCGTAATTTTGATGACCACTCCGGGTTGTGGAGTTGGAATAGAATAATTTGTACTTTCTTTGTTTATATTGTTGCTAGGGTTAGCATTTGGTTTTGGTATCTTAGAGATATTTGGATTTTGGTCATTTTTGGGGTTTGTCCAAAAATGACATAACTCTTGTTTCTTTTTTTTCGAATTTATAAAATCTTTGCCGGGGCTTCGGCTTCTTTCCCAAAAAAAAAAAAAACCCTAAACCCTAAACCCTAAACCCTAAACCCTAAAACCCTAAACCCTAAACCCTAAACCCTAAACCCTAAACCCTAAACCCTAAACCCTAAACCCTAAACCCTAAACCCTAAACCCTAAACCCTAAACCCTAAACCCTAAACCCTAAACCCAAAACACTAAACCCTAAACCCTAAACCCTAAACCCTAAAACCCTAAACCCTAAACCCTAAACCCTAAACCCTAAACCCTAAACCCTAAACCCGGAATTTCATCATCGTTGATTGAATTTACTCTAGAACGAATTCCAATTGTTTATACGATTGGTGATCGGATGTTCGGGAAAATTGGCAATATGTTTGGCATGAATTATACGGATCCTCCTGATCCGGTTAATAAAAATTGTATGAAGATGAATTGGAAGCTGATATTGGAGCAAAACGAAGAGGAAGAAGAGCTGTACATAAGGAATTCTCTCCTTATTCAGTGATTAAACCATTAAGATCAAAAGAAAAAATGGAAGCTAAAGCTAATCGGTTAAAGGAGGAGAAGACGTATTTGAGCTCGAAATCAATAGCTGATGGGTCTAAAGCAGTTCTTCGAGCTGGAATACGTGATGTAATCAAATCAAATTATGGAAAAGAAAATATCGATCCTCAATTTATTAAAGCTAAATTGGATGCGTTTGATAAGGTGATTGCCGAACAGAAAAAAATGGAAGAAGAAAAAGGATTCGTGTTGCTCCAAGTAACTTCAGATATGGTTAAGGGATTCAATTCTTCTAAGAACACGGTGGTTGGGTTATCTTCTTCATCCCCTGTAATTCAAGTGAACATGGAAACGAACGCTAGAACTGGTACTGGGTCGAACATTGGATCGTTAATTGGAATGAAAATGCATAAGGGCATGTTGATTGATGAGTCGAATGCTTCCAAGGATTTCAATTCTTCGCAGATTATGGAAAATAGTTTGTCTTCTCCAGCGATGGGATCGGCAGTTGATAATAAAGATGTCAAGGGTATTTTGGGAAAGTCCCCATTATCGCAAGTTGCACCTGTTATTTCAGGTACCAATTTAGTCTCTGAAGATAATCTTATTAATCCAATTAGTAGTCCTATTAATTGTATTGATGAAGATATGAAAGATTCACTGAATGAGAATGGAAATTTGGAAGTTGATACTGGTAATGATATGAAGAAGGAACAGGGAACTAACTTCTTGAGCATGGATTTTACCAAACCTGTTGCTTCCCCTGCAGCTAAGTTAGTTAGTGATTATAATAAAAAATCTTATGCTCGTATGGTTGAATCAACAAATACTGCAGTGGATCTTAACATTAAAGTAATTCCAAAAGAGGATGGAAAGCCTAAAGGGAAAGTTGAGTTGCTTTATGCAGATTTAATGTTGGGTGGAGCTCCTTATCATGCTACATTGTATGGGTTTTTTGTGGGGAAAAAACTTGCGTTTCCAAAGATGTAATGGTTAATGATGAAGGATTCTTTTTCTTTAAGTTTGATTCTAAGGAAGGAATGATGAATGTACTAGAGGGAGGCCCATGGTTGATTAAACAATGTGCCGATGTTTGTTCAAAGATGGAGGCCAGGTCTAGTACTCAGTAAACCACAGATTAACTCAGTTCCTGTTTGGGTTAAAGTGTTTAATGTGCCGTTGGAGTATTGGAACAGCAAAGGAATTACTTTGATTGCTAATGAGATTGGGAAACCAATTGCCATGGATAAAATCACTCAAAAAATGTGTAATGAACATTGGGGAAGGCCAGCATTCATGCGTTTTCTTGTGGAAATGTCAGCAGAAGCAGAATGGATGAAAGAGTTAAGTGTGATCTCAATTGATTTTGGAACAGGAGAAAAAGTTGAGTCAAAGTGCAGGGTAAGTATGCGTGGAGACCTGATGTTTGTAATCACTGCAAAATATATGGGCATAAAAATAGCAATTGTGCAATTCTTAATGGGGCAAAAAATGATAATGGTGCTGATGTTGCTGTAAACAGAGAAGAGGATGGGAAAAAAGAGAAAGTTGATGATGATGGTTTCATTTTAGTCACAAAGAAAAATAACAAAGGGCAGAAATTCAATAATAATGGTGTGATTATTAATGAAGAAGGGAAAGTGGATTTAATTAAATCCTTGGAGGAAAACACAAAACTTGTTAGTGAAGGAGCTCAAGTTGGTAACAATGAAGGAGAATCTATAGAGGAGGGTGAGCAAAGGAAAAATAATAGCAAACAAATTGAAGAAAAAGAAAAGCAAAAAGGAGTTAAGAAAGAAGATCAAAACAGTAAAGGGGCTGGAAGTCGACATAATGGGGGAAATTATTCGAAATTTGCAGTGGGTAATCTCAAAAAAGATGGGAAGGAGAAAGGGGTATTTCAGTCAAAAGAGGATAAAAGTGGGAAAGTGAATGGTACAGGGGTGTTTATCCCAAAAGAAAAAATGGGGATAAGAGTTAAAAATGTTATTGAAAACTTTAATGCTAAAAAGAAGGAATGCAGGGGAAAAAAGAAGAAAATCAAAAAAAGGTGTATGTTCCTAAAAGCAAGTGGATTTAAAAGTTAGTTCTAACTTTGACAAAACAGGTTCTAATTCAGGGAAAGATAATCAAGATGAGATATTATCGCAAAACCCCTTTGATGTGCTTGCTGATTTGGGATTAAAGGATATGTCTTACTTGGATGGAATTGATCAGGAGATGATTTTAACTGGAGGTGGCCAGGAGATAAGCACCGAAAATTCAAATGTTGATCAATGTTGATGAATATAGGATGCTGGAATGTGAGGGGGTTGAATTTAAGGCCTAAACAGGAGGAAATAAAGAATGTAATAAGAAGTAATAATTTGTCTCTGTTTGCTATTCTAGAATCCCAGCTGAGATTTAGCAAACTTCAAACGACTTGTAATAATGTTTTTGGGAAATGGATGTGGATATCGAACCAAGACATGAGTCCTAAAGGCACTTGAATTATAATTGGTTGGGATCCGGAGGAGTTAGTTGTTATGCCTTTAGATGCAAATGATCAGGTTATGCACTGCCAGGTGTTGTTTATCCGGGAAAATAAAAGAATTTTTTGCTCTTTCGTTTATGCTTGTAACTATTACATGGAGAGAAGGAAGCTTTGGAATTCTCTTGGAAAAAATAAAGATGTTGTTAAGGGGCTTCCTTGGTTAATAGTTGGAGACTTTAATGTTACCAAACAATTGCTTGATTCTTCTTCTGGCACTTCGAGATTGTCTAGGGGAATGGTTGATTTTAATGAATGCATGAATCTTATTGAAGTTCAAGACATCAATAAAATGGGGATTTCACTTTACTTGGAATCAAAGGCTAAATGGAAATAATGGGATTCTTAAAAAATTAGATAGAGTTTTGGGAAATTTCAAATTTATTGAGGATTTTCCAGATGTCTATGCTAATTTTCAGCCTTATAGAAATTCAGATCACTGCCCAATGATAGTGAAATTTCCTTTTAAAAAGAAGTTCAGAGTTAGACCTTTTAAGTTTGTTAATGCCCTAACTCTTTTGGAAGATTTCATTCCTACGGTTGAGAAAGCTTGGAATACCCCTGTTGAAGGTTTTGACATGTTTCGTTTATGTCAAAAATTGAAGTTATTGAAGAAGCCTCTTCGAAAGTTGCTGTTTGGTCAGGGAAGTTATGCTGGAAAAGTGCAAAAATGTAGAGAAGAATTGGAGAGAGTGCAGACTGAACTTGATAATGATCCTCATAATGGTGAATTACGTTCTGAAGAAGGTTTGTACATGCAAGCTTTTCTTAATGCTTGTAAAGAAGAAGAGATGGTCTTAAAACAAAAAGCCAAAGTGCAATGGTTAAAGGAAGGAGACAGTAATTCTGCGTATTTTCACAAAGTTGTCAGGGGCAAGATAAACAAAAATAGAGTTGAATCCATTTTGGGCAATGATGGGAAATGGAAAGAAGGTGATGAAGCTTATAAACAGATTGTAAATTATTTCAGTGATTTTTTGGGAGTTGATAGTGAAGTGTGTCCTATCAATAATCCAGAAGGTCTTTTTGAAAATAAGTTGAATCAAGAACAAGCTCGTGATATGGTCAAAGAAATTACTTGTGAGGAAATTAAAGCTGCAGTTTTTGATATTGATGATGATAAAGCTCCTGGGCCGGATGGTTATTCTTCAAAGTTCTTCAAGGCTGCTTGGGTTATTGTAGGGGAAGATTTCTGTAAAGCAGTAAAAGAATTTTTTTGTAAGAAAAAGATCCTTAAGGAGATCAATGCCACAGCTATTGCTTGGTTCCTAAAGTTCAAACGCCTGGTAGAGTTGGGGATTATAGGCCGATTGCTTGTTGCAATGTGGTCTATAAATGCATCAGCAAAATAATAGTGAAAAGGATTCGTGATCATCTGAAGTTTCTTGTTTCGGATAATCAATCTGCGTTTATTCCAGGCCGATCCATTCTCGATAATGTCCTGTTGTCTCAAGAATTGGTGAAGGGATATCACATAGATAGAGGTTATGCTCGGTGTGCTCTAAAGGTGGACATCCAAAAAGCCTATGATACTGTTAGTTGGAAGTTTTTGCAGAATATTCTGGTGAATTTTGGGTTCCATAATTCCATGATTTCTTGGATAATGAACTGTGTTTCAACTTCTTCATTTATGATCAACATCAATGGAAATTTTCATGGTTATTTTCAAGGGAAGAGAGGATTGAGGCAAGGCTGTCCTTTGTCTCCCTATCTTTTTACCCTTGTGATGGAAGTCTTCAATTTGATGCTTAAAAGAACTATTCATGAGAATATTGGGTTTAAATATCATTGGAGATGTAGAGCTCAGAAGATAACCCATCTTTGTTTTGCAGATGATTTGATGCTTTTTTGCCATGGAAACACTGGATCCATTAGAATTATTAAGAAAGCTATGGATGAATTTGCTGGAACTGCTGGTCTTATTCCAAATTTGTCAAAAAGTCACATTTTCTTTAGTAATGTGAAAGAGCCTTTTAAGAGAAGAATTCTTGATGTGCTTCCTTTTGTTGAAGGCAAACTTCCAATGAAGTATTTAGGAATTCCTTTAATTTCTACTAGACTTTTTACTAGAGATTGCAAGATCCTTGTTGAAAGAGTGAAGTTAAAAGTTAATAATTGGAAGAATAAAATGTTGTCATATGCTGGGAGATTTCAATTAATTAGATCTGTTCTTGCTTCTCTTCCTGTTTATTGGGCCTCTGTGGTTTTGATTCCGAAAAGCATTACCAAAGACATTGAGAAAATTATGAGAAACTTTCTTTGGAATAGTGGGGAGAGCAGGAAAGGAATAGCTAAAGTTTCCTGGAATGAGATTTGTAAGCCTAAGGGTTATGGTGGCCTTGGGTTAAAGAATTTGAGAGATTGGAATATTGCCCTTTTATCTAGCAGAATCTGGAAGATTTTAAGTGGGCATGACTCTTTGTGGGTGAGATGGGTGAATTCTCATCTTCTGGAGGGTAGAAGTTTTTAGGATGTGCATTATAAAGACAAAATAAGCTGGAGCTGGAGAAATCTCTTAAAAATTAGGCCTCTTCTTCGTGATTATTTTTATGTTCAAATCGGAAGTGGGGATGGAACCTTCATGTGGTTTGACAACTGGCATCATTTGGGGCCTCTAAGCTATGTTTTGTCTCCTAGGGAGATAGCCAATGCTGGATACAACATTAGAGATAAAGTGAGTGATGTTATTATTAATGAAGATTGGAGATGGCCTGAAGAGTGGCTTAGATTGATCCCACAACTTGGAGATTACCATGTTCCTAACCTGATCAGAGGAAAAAAAGATTTGTTCTGGTTGAATTACAAAAATGACTTAGTTCCTTTTGCTGTGAATCAGGTTTCTGCTTCTCTTAATTATCGTGAGGTTCCTGTTGAGTGGCATGATTTAGTCTGGTTTCAAAATAGAATACCAAGTCATTGTTTTATTTTATGGCTTGCTATTCGTGGAAGGCTCAGAACTCAAGACAGAATGGAAAATTGGAAGAATTCGAATGATTTCTGGTGTGCGTTTTGTAATAACCAAATGGACTCTCATTCCCATTTATTTTTTGAATGTAATTTCCTTTGATGGTGTGGGAGAGTGTGAAAAATAAAGTGAAATTAAGGCATAATTCGGGTGATTGGTTTCATATTGTCCAGGAGCTTCAATTCTCTCTAAAGAGAAAATGCATTGGTAATTTCATTCAAAAGATTGCTCTAGCTGCTTCTATATATCACATTTGGAATGAAAGAAACAGGAGATTGTTTGGAAGGAAAAGAAATTCGGTGGATGATGTAATAAAGAATATCATGGAAGACATTAGACTAAAGATGTTCAGCCTTAAATGGGGTTATCTTGGTCTTAATGAGGAAATTTGTAAGGAATGGAATGTTCCTGTTAAAAACAAAGATTATTTCCATGGAAGTCGAAATTAATTTGAAAAGCAGGCTGTATGAAGAATTATCAGAGGGGCTGGCTTGGAATTGGAGGGATTTGAGCTTTTATGGAGCTCGGATTGAGAATATAAGAAAGAACGTAAATAAAAGCGGAAATTCAAATAAGATAATTAAAGGGTATTTTGGTCAAAAATGGAATTGTAATAAATTGGATGAATTATTAGTGATTATCTTGAATTTTGAAGGTATCGGCTATAATTCTGATACAGGGGATGGGAAGAAGATGGATTTGGATAATAAAGATAGCAGGTGCGTTTCTTTTATTCAGGGGCTGTTTGGAGTTTGGTCTAATAAAGAAGCGAGTGGAACAGTTTATGTCGTGGGTGATAAGCTTAGTTATATTGAGAGAAGGAAGTCCTTGCGTCTCAGCAGTAGTTGGTACAGAAAAGGAAAAAATAAGAAACAGGGGTATCCTGGGATTGAGGGGTATTTCGGTAATTCAAAATTTTTCTGGTTTTTTCTTCCTGTTCGAGATAATTGTGGGGGAGAGGATAATTGGAAGACTCTTACAAAAAGTGAAAAATTAAAAATTTGGATTAAAGGGTATTGTGGTCATTGTTGGGGAAAAATTAATATGGATGATCAAACTGTGAATTGCTTGGGGATGATCGAAATTTGGAGGAAGGGCATAGCGAATGGGAGTCTGAAGGGTGGGTTATTTGATAAACAATTGAAAGATGAAATTGGAAATGGGTGGAGTGATATTCAGCGGTTTTTGGATTCAAATAAGATAAATAACAAGCGAGGGCAATTTGGGCATTTTCATAATATTGATGAATTTTGGTGCTGGAAAGATCTTAATGGAGGTTCGCTGGATTTGCAAAATGGCTGGAATAAAATTAATGAGAGTCAAAATTCTTTTCATGTTCGTTTGAAGAGGCAGGGGCATTTTGGTCAAAATTATGAGAAGAGTGTCATTTTTATTCATTACATGATGATCCTTTGGAGTTGGAAGTTAAGATACAAAGAAGGAACTATTGGATATGGAGGAATTCTTTTGTTTTAGAAGGAGTTCATATTCAATATATTTACAAAAGAATTGACGGATATGGGATTTTTACCAATTTTTCCCTTAAAATTGGATTGCAAATCGGTTTAATCCCGAGTATCATTTGGTTTATACCTTATGATGTGGTTAATTTTCATCAATATATGGAATTTATTTCCATTTATTGTGAAATTCCGCCTTGGAAACAAGGTGTGTACTACCAAGGATTTGACGGAAATGGGAGTTTTTTCATTTTTTCCCTTAAAAATGAATTGCATCTTGGTTTGATCCCAAGTTTCATAAGAATTTTTTCTTGTGAAGTGGAATTCATAAATTTGCATATGGGTCCTATCCCCATAAGTTGTGTTTTTATCCTATTCATTTAGGATTCTCCACGTTTGTGGGTGCCACTACTGGTTCGATCAGTAAGTGGTGGGATATTCACCCGTTAATAACCAGGCTTGGGTACGTCATCCTTAGACTGTACCACCATGTTTTTGGCATTTTTTGGTTAACAAAATGTCGCTTTTTTTTGGCTTTTTTTGTCTTGGAAACTAGACATGTATATAAAAGGAATTGACGGAATCGGGATTTTTATCACTTTTTCCCTTAAAAGTGAACCCCCGCCTTGGAAACAAGGTGTGTATATCAAAGGAATTGACGGTTTTGGGATTTTTATCACTTTTTCCCTTAAAAGTGAACCCCCGCCTTGGAAACAAGGTGTGTATATCAAAGGAATTGACGGAATCGGGATTTTTATCACTTTTTCCCTTAAAAGTGAAATTTTGTCTTGGAAACAAGATGAGCTTATTCAAGGAATTGACGGTTTTGGGATTTTTCTCACTTTTTCCCTTAAAAGTGATTTTCCGCCTTGGAAACAAGGCGAGTATATTCAAGGAATTGACGGATACGGGATTTTTATCACTTTTTCCCTTAAAAGTGAACACAAACCATGGAAACATGGTTTTTAAATTCATGGAATTGACGGATATTCTCCTTTTAGTTTTGTTGATGATGGAGAAATTATAGAAAACTTATTAAGAGTTGTTGGGTTTGAAGAAGATTGGAAGACCTTATTGTTGAGGATTTTGAAGAGCTTGGATATGAAAAGAAGAGGTTTTGAAGAGGGTTTGATGCAAGGAAGAATTGGAGAGACTTTGAATGTTCATATATTTTTTGGGAGTCATAGGGATAAGGATTGGAAAAATTGGAAAATTGTGAATAGAGATGATAAAAGAATGTCTACTTTTAGCATTATTTTTTCGCTTTGTTTATATGGTAATAAAGATGAAAGAAGGGAAAAAAGAAAGAAGATTGCTATTATGGGTTTTTTTGGGAATTGGAATGTAGTTACTTCAAGTATTTTATTGTGGAATTTTTGGGGTATCTTTAATCATGGGAATTGCGTTAAGTTGAGCTTTGGGATGTGGAGCATACTTAGAGATGGTTTATATGAAGATTGGAAGAGAAGATGGCAAGTTCAATTTGTGTTGGAATGGATTTTTGAAGACCACTCCGGTTTGTGGAGTTGGGATAAAATAAATTGTATTTCCATTGGTTACAATGTCGTTAGGCCTAGTCTTTACTTTTGGTATCTTCGTGATATTTGGATTCTGGTCATTTTTGGGGTTTGTCCAAAAATGACATAACTCTTGTATTTCTTTTTCTGTTTTATAAAATTTTGCCCGGGGCTTCGGCCTCTTTCCCAAAAAAAAAAAAAAACCCTAAACCCTAAACCCTAAACCCCAAACCCTAAACCCCAAACCCCAAACCCCAAACCCTAAACCCGAAACCCGAAACCCAAAACCCTAAACCCAAAACCCTAAACCCTAAACCCTAAACCCTAAACCCCAAACCCTAAACCCTAAACCCCAAACCCAAAACCCTAAACCCCAAACCCCAAACCCTAAACCCTAAACCCTAAACCCTAAACCCTAAACCCTAAACCCTACACCCTAAACCCAAGAAGGTCGGTTAAAGAGAGCAAGAATTGGAAGATTGTGAATAGAGATAATAGAGATGATGATATTTTGGCTTTTTATAGCAACATACTTTTGAGGTACATAAAAGATAATAAAGATACAAGGGTGGAGAGGAGAAAGAAGATTGCTATTATGGAGTCCTTTGACAATGGGAAGGAGGAAACTATGTGCATTTTATATGGAATTCTTGGGATATTGATGTTCATAGGACTAGCGATATTCTTGACACTTGGATGAGGAGCATGTATAGAGATGGAGTTTTTGAAGATTGGAAGAAAAGATGGCGTGTCCATTTCGAGTGCGAGCGTAATTTTGATGACCACTCCGGGTTGTGGAGTTGGAATAGAATAATTTGTACTTTCTTTGTTTATATTGTTGCTAGGGTTAGCATTTGGTTTTGGTATCTTAGAGATATTTGGATTTTGGTCATTTTTGGGGTTTGTCCAAAAATGACATAACTCTTGTTTCTTTTTTTTCGAATTTATAAAATCTTTGCCGGGGCTTCGGCTTCTTTCCCAAAAAAAAAAAAAAACCCTAAACCCTAAACCCTAAACCCTAAACCCTAAAACCCTAAACCCTAAACCCTAAACCCTAAACCCTAAACCCTAAACCCTAAACCCTAAACCCTAAACCCTAAACCCTAAACCCTAAACCCTAAACCCTAAACCCTAAACCCTAAACCCAAAACACTAAACCCTAAACCCTAAACCCTAAACCCTAAAACCCTAAACCCTAAACCCTAAACCCTAAACCCTAAACCCTAAACCCTAAACCCGGAATTTCATCATCGTTGATTGAATTTACTCTAGAACGAATTCCAATTGTTTATACGATTGGTGATCGGATGTTCGGGAAAATTGGCAATATGTTTGGCATGAATTATACGGATCCTCCTGATCCGGTTAATAAAAAATTGTATGAAGATGAATTGGAAGCTGATATTGGAGCAAAACGAAGAGGAAGAAGAGCTGTACATAAGGAATTCTCTCCTTATTCAGTGATTAAACCATTAAGATCAAAAGAAAAAATGGAAGCTAAAGCTAATCGGTTAAAGGAGGAGAAGACGTATTTGAGCTCGAAATCAATAGCTGATGGGTCTAAAGCAGTTCTTCGAGCTGGAATACGTGATGTAATCAAATCAAATTATGGAAAAGAAAATATCGATCCTCAATTTATTAAAGCTAAATTGGATGCGTTTGATAAGGTGATTGCCGAACAGAAAAAAATGGAAGAAGAAAAAGGATTCGTGTTGCTCCAAGTAACTTCAGATATGGTTATGGGATTCAATTCTTCTAAGAACACGGTGGTTGGGTTATCTTCTTCATCCCCTGTAATTCAAGTGAACATGGAAACGAACGCTAGAACTAGTACTGGGTCGAACATTGGATCGTTAATTGGAATGAAAATGCACAAGGGCATGTTGATTGATGAGTCGAATGCTTCCAAGGATTTCAATTCTTCGTAGATTATGGAAAATAGTTTGTCTTCTCCAGCGATGGGATCGGCAGTTGATAATAAAGATGTCAAGGGTATTTTGGGAAAGTCCCCGTTATCACAAGTTGCACCTGTTATTTCAGGTACCAATTTAGTCTCTGAAGATAATCTTATTAATCCAATTAGTAGTCCTATTAATTGTATTGATGAAGATATGAAAGATTCACTGAATGAGAATGGAAATTTGGAAGCTGATACTGGTAATGATATGAAGAAGGAACAGGGAACTAACTTTTTGAACATGGATTTTACCAAACCTGTTGCATCCCCTGCAGCTAAGTTAGTTAGTGATTATAATAAAAAAATCTTATGCTCGTATGGTTGAATCAACAAATACTGCAGTGGATCTTAACATTAAAGTAATTCCAAAAGAGGATGGAAATCCTAAAGGGAAAGTTGAGTTGCCTTATGCATATTTAATGTTGGGTGGAGCTCCTTATCATGCTACATTGTATGGGTTTTTTGTGGGGAAAAAACTTGCGTTTCCAAAGATGTAATGGTTAATGATGAAGGATTCTTTTTCTTTAAGTTTGATTCTAAGGAAGGAATGATGAATGTACTAGAGGGAGGCCCATGGTTGATTAACAATGTGCCGATGTTTGTTCAAAGATGGAGGCCAGGTCTAGTACTCAGTAAACCACAGATTAACTCAGTTCCTGTTTGGGTTAAAGTGTTTAATGTGCCGTTGGAGTATTGGAACAGCAAAGGAATTACTTTGATTGCTAATGAGATTGGGAAACCAATTGCCATGGATAAAATCACTCAAAAAATGTGTAATGAACATTGGGGAAGGCCAGCATTCATGCGTTTTCTTGTGGAAATGTCAGCAGAAGCAGAATGGATGAAAGAGTTAAGTGTGATCTCAATTGATTTTGGAACAGGAGAAAAAGTTGAGTCAAAGTGCAGGGTAGAGTATGCGTGGAGACCTGATGTTTGTAATCACTGCAAAATATATGGGCATAAAAATAGCAATTGTGCAATTCTTAATGGGGCAAAAAATGATAATGGTGCTGATGTTGCTGTAAACAGAGAAGAGGATGGGAAAAAAGAGAAAGTTGATGATGATGGTTTCATTTTAGTCACAAAGAAAAATAACAAAGGGCAGAAATTCAATAATAATGGTGTGATTATTAATGAAGAAGGGAAAGTGGATTTAATTAAATCCTTGGAGGAAAATACAAAACTTGTTAGTGAAGGAGCCACAGCTGGTAACAATGAAGGAGAATCTATAGAGGAGGGTGAGCAAAGGAAAAATAATAGCAAACAAATTGAAGAAAAAGAAAAGCAAAAAGGAGTTAAGAAAGAAGATCAAAACAATAAAGGGGCTGGAAGTCGACATAATGGGGGAAATTATTCGAAATTTGCAGTGGGTAATCTCAAAAAAGATGGGAAGGAGAAAGGGGTATTTCAGTCAAAAGAGGATAAAAGTGGGAAAGTGAATGGTACAGGGGTGTTTATCCCAAAAGAAAAAATGGGGATAAGAGTTAAAAATGTTATTGAAAACTTTAATGCTAGAAAAGAAGGAATGCAGGGGAAAAAAGAAGAAAATCAAAAAAAGGTGTATGTTCCTAAGAAGCAAGTGGATTCAAAAGTTAGTTCTAACTTTGACAAAACAGGTTCTAATTCAGGGAAAGATAATCAAGATGAGATATTATCGCAAAACCCCTTTGATGTGCTTGCTGATTTGGGATTAAAGGATATGCCTTACTTGGAGGGAATTGATCAGGAGATGATTTTAACTGGAGGTGGCCAGGAGATAAGCACCGAAAATTCAAATGTTGATCAATGTTGATGAATATAGGATGCTGGAATGTGAGGGGGTTGAATTTAAGGCCTAAACAGGAGGAAATAAAGAATGTAATAAGAAGTAATAATTTGTCTCTGTTTGCTATTCTTGAATCCCAGCTGAGATTTAGCAAACTTCAAACGACTTGTAATAATGTTTTTGGGAAATGGATGTGGATATCGAACCAAGACATGAGTCCTAAAGGCACTCGAATTATAATTGGTTGGGATCCGGAGGAGTTAGTTGTTATGCCTTTAGATGCAAATGATCAGGTTATGCACTGCCAGGTGTTGTTTATCCGGGAAAATAAAAGAATTTTTTGCTCTTTCGTTTATGCTTGTAACTATTACATGGAGAGAAGGAAGCTTTGGAATTCTCTTGGAAAAAATAAAGATGTTGTTAAGGGGCTTCCTTGGTTAATAGTTGGAGACTTTAATGTTACCAAACAATTGCTTGATTCTTCTTCTGGCACTTCGAGATTGTCTAGGGGAATGGTTGATTTTAATGAATGCATGAATCTAATTGAAGTTCAAGACATCAATAAAAATGGATTTCACTTTACTTGGAATCAAAGGCTTAATGGAAATAATGGGATTCTTAAAAAATTAGATAGAGTTTTGGGAAATTTCAAATTTATTGAGGATTTTCCAGATGTCTATGCTAATTTTCAGCCTTATAGAAATTCAGATCACTGCCCAATGATAGTGAAATTTCCTTTTAAAAAGAAGTTCAGAGTTAGACCTTTTAAGTTTGTTAATGCCCTAACTCTTTTGGAAGATTTCATTCCTACGGTTGAGAAAGCTTGGAATACCCCTGTTGAAGGTTTTGACATGTTTCGTTTATGTCAAAAATTGAAGTTATTGAAGAAGCCTCTTCGAAAGTTGCTGTTTGGTCAGGGAAGTTATGCTGGAAAAGTGCAAAAATGTAGAGAAGAATTGGAGAGAGTGCAGACTGAACTTGATAATGATCCTCATAATGGTGAATTACGTTCTGAAGAAGGTTTGTACATGCAAGCTTTTCTTAATGCTTGTAAAGAAGAAGAGATGGTCTTAAAACAAAAAGCCAAAGTGCAATGGTTAAAGGAAGGAGACAGTAATTCTGCGTATTTTCACAAAGTTGTCAGGGGCAAGATAAACAAAAATAGAGTTGAATCCATTTTGGGCAATGATGGGAAATGGAAAGAAGGTGATGAAGCTTATAAACAGATTGTAAATTATTTCAGTGATTTTTTGGGAGTTGATAGTGAAGTGTGTCCTATCAATAATCCAGAAGGTCTTTTTGAAAATAAGTTGAATCAAGAACAAGCTCGTGATATGGTCAAAGAAATTACTTGTGAGGAAATTAAAGCTGCAGTTTTTGATATTGATGATGATAAAGCTCCTGGGCCGGATGGTTATTCTTCAAAGTTCTTCAAGGCTGCTTGGGTTATTGTAGGGGAAGATTTCTGTAAAGCAGTAAAAGAATTTTTTTGTAAGAAAAAGATCCTTAAGGAGATCAATGCCACAGCTATTGCTTTGGTTCCTAAAGTTCAAACGCCTGGTAGAGTTGGGGATTATAGGCCGATTGCTTGTTGCAATGTGGTCTATAAATGCATCAGCAAAATAATAGTGAAAAGGATTCGTGATCATCTGAAGTTTCTTGTTTCGGATAATCAATCTGCGTTTATTCCAGGCCGATCCATTCTCGATAATGTCCTGTTGTCTCAAGAATTGGTGAAGGGATATCACATAGATAGAGGTTATGCTCGGTGTGCTCTAAAGGTGGACATCCAAAAAGCCTATGATACTGTTAGTTGGAAGTTTTTGCAGAATATTCTGGTGAATTTTGGGTTCCATAATTCCATGATTTCTTGGATAATGAACTGTGTTTCAACTTCTTCATTTATGATCAACATCAATGGAAATTTTCATGGTTATTTTCAAGGGAAGAGAGGATTGAGGCAAGGCTGTCCTTTGTCTCCCTATCTTTTTACCCTTGTGATGGAAGTCTTCAATTTGATGCTTAAAAGAACTATTCATGAGAATATTGGGTTTAAATATCATTGGAGATGTAGAGCTCAGAAGATAACCCATCTTTGTTTTGCAGATGATTTGATGCTTTTTTGCCATGGAAACACTGGATCCATTAGAATTATTAAGAAAGCTATGGATGAATTTGCTGGAACTGCTGGTCTTATTCCAAATTTGTCAAAAAGTCACATTTTCTTTAGTAATGTGAAAGAGCCTTTTAAGAGAAGAATTCTTGATGTGCTTCCTTTTGTTGAAGGCAAACTTCCAATGAAGTATTTAGGAATTCCTTTAATTTCTACTAGACTTTTTACTAGAGATTGCAAGATCCTTGTTGAAAGAGTGAAGTTAAAAGTTAATAATTGGAAGAATAAAATGTTGTCATATGCTGGGAGATTTCAATTAATTAGATCTGTTCTTGCTTCTCTTCCTGTTTATTGGGCCTCTGTGGTTTTGATTCCGAAAAGCATTACCAAAGACATTGAGAAAATTATGAGAAACTTTCTTTGGAATAGTGGGGAGAGCAGGAAAGGAATAGCTAAAGTTTCCTGGAATGAGATTTGTAAGCCTAAGGGTTATGGTGGCCTTGGGTTAAAGAATTTGAGAGATTGGAATATTGCCCTTTTATCTAGCAGAATCTGGAAGATTTTAAGTGGGCATGACTCTTTGTGGGTGAGATGGGTGAATTCTCATCTTCTGGAGGGTAGAAGTTTTTAGGATGTGCATTATAAAGACAAAATAAGCTGGAGCTGGAGAAATCTCTTAAAAATTAGGCCTCTTCTTCGTGATTATTTTTATGTTCAAATCGGAAGTGGGGATGGAACCTTCATGTGGTTTGACAACTGGCATCATTTGGGGCCTCTAAGCTATGTTTTGTCTCCTAGGGAGATAGCCAATGCTGGATACAACATTAGAGATAAAGTGAGTGATGTTATTATTAATGAAGATTGGAGATGGCCTGAAGAGTGGCTTAGATTGATCCCACAACTTGGAGATTACCATGTTCCTAACCTGATCAGAGGAAAAAAAGATTTGTTCTGGTTGAATTACAAAAATGACTTAGTTCCTTTTGCTGTGAATCAGGTTTCTGCTTCTCTTAATTATCGTGAGGTTCCTGTTGAGTGGCATGATTTAGTCTGGTTTCAAAATAGAATACCAAGTCATTGTTTTATTTTATGGCTTGCTATTCGTGGAAGGCTCAGAACTCAAGACAGAATGGAAAATTGGAAGAATTCGAATGATTTCTGGTGTGCGTTTTGTAATAACCAAATGGACTCTCATTCCCATTTATTTTTTGAATGTAATTTCCTTTGATGGTGTGGGAGAGTGTGAAAAATAAAGTGAAATTAAGGCATAATTCGGGTGATTGGTTTCATATTGTCCAGGAGCTTCAATTCTCTCTAAAGAGAAAATGCATTGGTAATTTCATTCAAAAGATTGCTCTAGCTGCTTCTATATATCACATTTGGAATGAAAGAAACAGGAGATTGTTTGGAAGGAAAAGAAATTCGGTGGATGATGTAATAAAGAATA